TGCTTGAGTGACAGAGCTATACAAAACAGCACACACTCACAGTGCCTAAAACATACACAGTTTGCAGTTCAAAATCATTAGGCAGGAATAGCATTTATTCCAGGTGTCATTCTGATTTGCTCAAGGTATAAACCCCACAACTCTTCTCACTGAACTCTTTACTTTCGTAATTCCAGTATAGTAAGTGCAAAGCCCTTACCACCAGCCCTTCTCTGGTTATAAGCAGTCTTTCTATAAAGAGCTCTACAGGAAAAAAAAAAGGAAAATAAAAATCTACAGTAATGCATTAATCAAAACAAAAATGACAGTAACAAACATTAATGCACAATTAATCTGTCATTTTTCCTAGCTTAAATAAACAGAACTCAACCTGGTTAACAATGGTAAAACTGCAAGAGAGGAGATGTGGAGACAGAGCTGATCACGTAGACTGCGACACATCAGTTAAAATACATTGTTAACATATTTGTTGTCCTCCACAATATTATCTCCAAGAGTAGCTGTGATCTCTTTATTAAAACTTGTGGGCATGTAATCTGTCCAGTAGCTTTGATAGCACAGATGAATGCTATGATCTGGACCACGAGAGGAAAGAACTCACTTCTAGTAAAATTCACAGTCCTGCTGAATGACCAAGTTATTTTTCCTTCTTGCATCCTCTTCAAGGCACTGAATTCTGCTGATGAAAAAACACAGTATAAAACCTGGTTTTGTAAGAAACTGTCCACCTGCAAGAATTTGGCTTGGTCTGCAGAACAAGCAAGAAATAGACTCACAGGTCACACTCAGACAGTGATAATCAGAGGTTTTTAATCAGGCTGGCAGCCTGTCACAAATGGGAACCCCTTGGAATCAGTACTGGCCCTGACACTGTTCAACATCTTCCTAAATGATCTCGATGATGGGTCTAAGAGCACTGATGACACCAAACTAGGTGGTAAGGTGGACACGTGAGAAGGGAAAGCCATCTTACAGACATACCTGGGCAGGCTGGAGGAGTGAGCCAGCAAGAACAGTGTGGAGTTTACCAGAGACAAGTGCAAGGCCCTGCATCTGGGATGACATACCCCAAGGGCCCAGTGCAGGCTGGGGTCTGTGTGAGTGGGCAGCAATAGTGGACAAGCTGCACAGGAGTCAGCAGTGGACCACTGCAGCAGTGAAGGCAAACTGGATCCTGGGTTGCATCCACAGGGACATTACCAGTGGAGATAAGAGAGGTGATCCTCCAACTCTACCATGAGTGTGACAGGCCACACCTGGACTGCTGTGCCCAGTTCTAGTCTCCACAATTCAAGACAGAAACTGGAAAAGATCCAAACGAAGGCCATGAAGATGATAGAGAACCTGTCCTATAAGGAGAGACTGATTTTCTCCCTGGAGAATAAAGAGAAGACTCAGTGTATGGAACACTGGGGTGAGTTCCCCCCTAACAGATATGTGATGACTTGAGATGGTTAAAGCCAAGAATGAACTTCAGTTCTTTGAAAGATTGGAGCTAAAAAACAGCAAGAAAAGTGTTTGGGAATGATGAGAAAAATAGAAGTGAGACAACAGAAGAAACAAGTAGTTGCAATTAGCTGTTTTCAAGCTTCATTGGAGTTTTTGGTGTAAGAGTGCAAGGGAGGGCCTTCACTTAAGTTTCCATTCAATAAATTAACGGCCCTCAGAATCTTGCCCAGTAATTTTAATGCATGTTGAAAGCTGAAAGCTACTGGCTTTACCACTTCCAACACTGAAATGGATAAGATTCCAGCAGTGTATTTTATTAGCTGCCTAGTTACAATTCAGTAAGCTATAGTTATACTAGAAGTTGTTCTAAAAATTACATTTATGAAAAAGAAGCCATTAAAATTAAAAAACTAGATGGATTGTTTCCTGGAGCCAATATAAACAATGGACCAATTGCCATTTCCCTTCTGTAGTTATACACATCTCATTTTCACTCAAGTCAGAGGTATTATCCCACAGTCACACTGATATAACGAAATTCCCATACTCTTGTGAGCCTCCATAGAATCATAGAATAGTCTAGGTTGGAAGGGACCTTTAAGATCATCTAGTCCAACCATCAACCTAACGCTGACAACAACAAAACCACACATCACTAAACCATGTCACAAAACCACAGTTTCTCTGAAACCTTCTGACCTACATTTGTTCTTTGCTGAGAAAGTTGACTACTGATCAATTTCAAGTCAAGATATTGCTTAATGAACAATCATCTTCTGAACAGGGCTGAACATTTAACTTCTTGACCATCAGATCTCTGAGACTAGAAGAAACCGCCTGAGATCAGGTACCAGTGAAATCATCAACCTTTCCTTAGCAAAACCATTTAAGAAGCTCTCGGTAGCTTTTTTCCCCTCTCCAATTTGAGCACTAGAAACCTTCAGCAAGGTTTTAAAATGTTTTCCAAATTACTGTGTGAGCACAGTCAGTAATCAAAGTATGCAATCATAGTTCTGATTTGACTGAAAATCTTTGGCCCAGATGCATTTCAACAAATTACACGCTTAACTGAGGTTTCCACTGTTCTCCTTTGACTAAACAGAGAACCTACAGCAGCAAAACTCCTAATTGAGGTATATCAGTTTGGTGCCTAAAATTAGGTGGGATGAATATAGCTCAAAAAATTACACAGCACTAGTTGATGATGGAAAAAATCTAAGGCAGTAAATCACAGGCTGATTTGAAGCAGCCTCCTTTAACAGGAACCAAATGGTTCCTACAGTCCTAACAGCTTTTTCCTTCCAGTAAAAACGAAAACAGCAAACAATGACCCACGGGTTGAACGGTGCTCTGGGATCCAAGGAGTGGAATTTTTCTCCGTAGCTTTCCATTTGGAAAACAATAAATGCATACATATATAGAATTCCATATATGCAGTACTTCATTGTTTCAAATCCATTCAGACTATACTATTTGACACACTAGGAGTTCATTCAACACCCTGTGCTATTCTGGCTAAACTGGGTTTGCCACCAGAGTAGAATTGTTTAAGTCACTTGGGTATTTCTAACACACACCACCATCTGACAACAGGACTTTCAGCCTCAGTATGGGTTATCTAACAGCACAAAGAAATTACTTATGATTCATGGAAAGTTGAAAGGCCGAATAAATGCATTTCAAGAATTCTGTTTTGCTACTTATTTTTCAGAAAAAATTGCCAATGTTACATTTAAATTTCTAATTGTTAGCTGAAATCTGCATGAAATTAAATACAGTAAAATAGCATATTTCAGAGGAAAAAACCAAAGTATTTTGGATATGCACGTGACATCAGGAAGAACTTAGCTATTTCAGATAAGAACTCTTTGTAGAGATGGCCTTTGCAAGGAACATGCTGCCTGTTTAGGTAATACAAGATAAAAGAACAGGGCAGTCCCTTAAAAATAGCATATTCCAAAATATCCAATTAGTTGTACTGAACTGTAGCATAGTCTAAAATATACAATTAGTTGTACTGAACTAGGGACATTACTCTGAAGCAGTCAGACTTGTGAGCTTTTTTTTTCCCTGCCTTTTTTTATTGAAGTAAGCTGTTAAAAGGACTTCAAACTTTTTTTTACATTACTTCAAAAGGGGAGATTCATATCAATATAGTCAAGTGAGCTATTTTTTTATTGGACCATCAACTACAATAGCTAGATCCCTAGCAATATCAATCAAATGCAGAAAAATGGGCAACTTAGATTTCTTGCATAGAACCCAGGGATAATACAGTGCTGTAGCTCAGTGGAGAAAAGCACAAATGCATATGTATAAATACTGCCTTATAAATCCAACTTGTAGGAAAACAAAAATCTGAAAACAAGGATAAGACAGAAGTAATTTACCTAAGCATCAATACAGTGGCTACTACAATACTAACACAAAAGGCTGCACAGTAAGGCACTGCAGAAAGGTAGTGCACCTCCTGAAGAATAACTGAGATTACTTCTATTGACCGTTCAGACAGCCCTGTGTGAAACGGTCTCTTTGAAGGCAGCAACTGTTACACACAGGTAAATCGGGTTTTGTTTGAAGAACAGTTAAAAAGAAATGTATTTCTAAATTAAAACCATGAAAATTAGTCACATCTTTCTGTCCTTATTTTAAAAATATGGAACACTGAAAAAGAATGAGCCTGAAGATGTGCACATCTTAAGAAAACACATATTATTATATGTAATATTTCCTCTATCGCTGCTAGAAAAGACCTTTTCACCTCCTTCTTGCTATCCCCAAACATGGACAAAATTGGGAATTTCTGAAGTCCAAATGAAGTGCTGGACAGAGGTAAACAGATCAAAAAGGGAGGATAAGAGGCAATAGGAGATCTATTTTCATGGAAAAAGTGGTATTTCAATCTGGTTGCACCTGAGTAACAATGTTATTGCATAGAATGTGTGCAATACATCACAGACATGAATGCTACGCGTACCCTAAAAAAAGCAGGGAACTCACATTTCTGCTTTAGTAACATTGTTCTGCCCCCAAATTGATTCCTCTATTATTCTCATTAAGTGCTCTGAACATAACTAATACAAGTTAAAGCTCTCATGCAGTTTCAGTGGAGGAGACTATAATATTTTTGCCAATTCTGGCCAACACAACTGGGGAAGTTAAATTACTGTTAACTGGAACACTCCCATCATTTCACTACCGTATGTCAGTAAGTGAAACAAAGTGGAAAACATATGTTTTCTAGAAAGCCAAGACCTAGTTAGAACAAAATTTGGTAGTTGTCAAGCTAAAACCTGAAGTCTGGACAAATAAAAGTGAGATCACACACATAGGTAAATAATTGCTGTATGCATTAAAACTTTTCCGTATATAGTTGCCTCTCAATTGCCACAGCACTGAAGAAAACAGCTAGAGAAAAAAAAGCACCTGCTGTTCAAAAGGAAGAATACTCACAAGTGTTGCTGTCACTTGATTGTTAATTCAATGAAAATTTTTAACCACGCATAACCCAATACCACTCGTCAAATCTGACTGCGAAGTGATGTTATTACCTCAGAGCGTATATGCTGGAGAGACTACATGTAGTGACAGAAACACTCTCATAGTCACTGCTGGAGATGGAGCTGAGGGGGGAATCACGTAAGCCATCTTGAGAACTGAAAAAACATACGGAAACAAAATGAACTGCTGAAGCCAACAAAGGTAAAAAACAGAGCACTGCGATAACTCATGGCTTGTCACGGGTTATACAGAAATAAGAGTAAATTGGCAGTTGTATTTTTGCTCTTGAGAAACTTATACAAACCTACGCTGTTTTCTTCCCAAAAGGACAGACAATTTGGCAAAAATCAGAGGGCACACATTTTATAAAAATCTTCAATTTAATTCATGTCATACAGTTAAAACATTCAGGAAAGAACTGAGGATGTTACATTTTCATAGGGTATAGAGAGAATAGCATGCTCACACTGCCAAGTGTGCTTTAATGGTATAACGAAGACATAACAAAACTGAAAGTTCACCAAGTCACTGTTTCAGGCCGAAACTTCCTAAACAATAAGCTTCAGGAACTGCTTAAATATCGTGACAAGTCTGAGCTAAGTTTCTTCCAAAGGAAAGGAAAAAGTCTGTGAGAAAGCAGAAAGCTGGCTCTTCAGTGAAGGCAATGAATATAATGTACCTACTCCCACCCCTAAATTCACTCAGTTCCTTAAAACTAACATATATGTATATAAATTTTGTGCTTTAAGCCAACAGATGAGCAGGAAGGAGCAGCCTCATGACAAACCACTGACACTTCATTAGAGAAAATCCACTATCTATTAAGTAAAAGGGTATGAATAATTTAAATGAATGGTGTACAAGTTGTCCCTGGCATCCCTGAGCTAACGAAAAGCCTTTGAATGACACATTTTAGATCTTAAATCATATCATGAACATGAAATAGGATTAGAAAATTATAAATACCATTTCATAAGCATTACAGAACTACATTCGAAAGACCTTTTTTTTTTTTTTTTCAGTAACAGTTTACTGCTCAGCCACTGGAAATTCCACAAGTTGAAAATAAAATTAAATTATGCTAGCTAAGAAAATATGTGATCTTGAACAGAGGTATCAAAGCTGTATTGGCTCTAGGCAGTGCAGAAGAATCATTCGAGCCTACTGAAATCAAATGTTCAGTCAACAGAAGTCTTTGGACAACACAGAGAGAAACCTAAGAAATGTCTTCAGTTAAAATGCATATAATTATATAGGTCAGGATTATTTTACCTTACTTTCCACAATTACTAGCAGATATTTTTTTAATGCTTTTTTGATTTGTAGGCGTACGTGGGGTAGGTATTCTAACCAGCTACATTCCAAATTCTTCTCTTTTACCAAATTTACTATTGTAGCTATTTTTGCAGATAGAAGTCTGGAAGAATGCTTGAGGGGAATTCTTCAAAGCAGTGCACAGAAAGTATGTGCTCTAATCCCACTCAGAAATAATAGGATTTGTTTGCATACCTCCCACTAATCACTTGGAAAATGTACCCCTTCATGTTCCTCATTTCTGATTGCCAATTTGAAAATAAATCCCAAATGTACTATGCTTTAGTTGAAAGGCGAGCCGTCGCAACTGGAAAATAATTTTATCAGACTTGAACAAAAATCTATTTAACTTTCATTCATTTTATATAATTTCCCTTGCTAATTCTGCTCATTATGAAGAGATATATGCATTTAAACAAAGGCTTTCTCTTTTATAGCTCATCACCTTTACCCATCCAATCTTACAACATGGTCATGCTACTAAAATGTACTTTTACTATCTGTTTTATGGCAGCTAAATGATATTAAAAAACCATTAGCATGTGATTTCACAGCATGATTGAGCAGGAGAAGCTGTCTTGCAAAGATGAAACGTATTGTTCAGAATAAAGTAATCTTTGAAGAGCAGAACCAGGAAACAAGAACTAGCAAACTCAGCACCTTCTTTTATCCTCTCTCACCTCCCTGCCACTTCCAGATTTTTGCAGTGTAACAAACCTGCCAGCTGATTTGGGTAGCAACACTTTTTTTGAAAAATGACAGGTTTGCTGTCCTTCAGGGCTTTCTGTGAAGCTCTGCCCAATATATTTGAAATCCAATCAAAATATCTCTCTTAAGAGTAGATAATATTTAATTTCAACATTGTCCCAAGTTGTAAAACCACTTTCTATCCTGATCTAACTTTGTGGAGTGGACATGGACGTTTCTCTGATGAGTTGACAAGCCTCATCTCATACCTCTTTCTCCATACTTTTTTGCCCATCATATGAGTCCTCTCTCACCTCTAACCAGCCCCCATCAGCCTAACTTTTCCTCATCTATTCCACTACCTCACATTTTTTTAAGCCTTGTCTTAAACACATTTGCCAAACTGCTTCATAAATGCCTTCGTTTTCCACTACTCCATCTTTGTGCACAAACCTGGCCATGCTGAGCCATCTGCTGATTTCAGGATTAGATATCCATCTGGTCAGTCATCATTTGGCAACATAAACTGCTTGGACACACTTGACACAAACCCATGCTCACAGAGGTTAGTCTTTTGTAGTAAAGGATGTGCAGTATAGACCATTACGATGTGTAAACATTTCTCTCACTTCTGTGTACCAATACAGATTGAATTTTTGTACCAGAAATAATATTTATTATTTATAATGTTTATTTCTGGTTCATATTCAGGCTGTAACTCTTCAGATAAGAAATTCTTTGCTTATTTAGTACCAAGAAATGGCAATCCAATAACAATAACTCTGTTTTATACCTTCTCAGTGTTATACTAAATTTGTTTTTTTTCTTCTAAAAAACAACAACAAAAAAGACACTCCTGACACCCTCACTGTATTGTTTCTCAGTACACACAGATTCAGGATACCACTTTGTAGAACTGTATTGTTTCTCAGTACACACAGATTCAGGATACCACTTTGTCTGCCTGAAGATTCACTCAGCTTTTCTAAGATGCTGGTAGATCCTGAGGTGAATTGACCTGCTTTTCCCAATTCATGATTCCTGTTATCAGCTGATGGTAGCTCAGTGCATGTGTTCATTAGCACAATTTTAAAAAGAGAAGGTATGTGCATACAGACACATTCTATAGCTAATAGCAGTTAACCCTTTCTTTCCACACGTGACATCAACTTCACCACATCTTGTGCTCATTTGAAATTAATTCTATGTTGGATTGGGATTCACAGGACTGTTTAAACTGTGCAAGGTGGCAAAAGTTTGTTTCATTTGGGAGGTCTTGAACACCTACAGTGCTACTTAAAAATTATATTCTAACATGGGATAAAACCAGCATCCACACTCAAAACAGAATTCTTCAGTACTTCTGATAAAAATATAGAATAAAGATTGAGGGAACAGAGCAAAGTGACATGGGCTGATGTGGCTGCCTCTTTTCATGGAATACTGTCAGACTGAACTAATAAATCTTTTATTTATGGGTTTTCACCATTTTTTGGTAACTATTTTCAGTAAAAATATAAGCTGAAAGCCACCTTTATTCTCGTTTGTGTGCTTTTTTCTCCTGGAATGTGTTTCCAGCCTCTTACATTTAATTAAACCTCTGGTTGTTTCAGGGGGTGGTTTCTTCATGAATGTTATTACTTGAGTTAGAATTACATTCTGTGTTACATTAGTTAATTAGACAGAGAAGAGATGATCTGCGCCATTTCACTCTACATGAGAGCTAACTCGAAAGCCTCACGTGTCAGCCCACCTATACCAAATCCACTCAAATAAGTGACTTTTAAAACTTATTTCATGAACCTGTATGTTGAGAGTTAACAGTTCACTGGGGCTGCATTTGATATGTGGACCTAGTAAAGGGAAGCTGGTACAAAACTCTGAAACCTTTTATTGGCACACTAAGGCTTCATATCTGAAGGCAAGTTATCGGATAGCACACAAAATCAGGGTTCAACAAACACACACTGCCACTTTTAATTTGTGAAAAATAATTAAAAAAAAAGAAAAATGGTGTAAGGATTGAAAAAAACCAACCTCATTTAAACTGAATCTGAATTTGGCTGACTGCACAAAGAATATCAGAAGGGTAACAGAGGAATTTCAATCAACAGCCAGATAAAGGATTGCTTAAGGGAAGTTTTGCAGTTGAAAGGCTGATATTTTTTTCCCAATCAACTACTATTTCCTTCCTGATGATGAGAAGGTTTCTTATTCCTGAATAGCTAGCTAAAAGATTAATCAATACAACACACTAAGCAGACATGTATTTGTTTATGTGAACACACACAGCTGTCCATTGATTTTTATGGAAATGGGAACCACAATTTCTTTAAGTCTTATTGTGACGGGAGTATTATAGGGAAACCATGAATTGAAGACATTTAATCAAGTTAATTTGCATTGCACTATCAATCAGTCTTCATAAAGGAGCACTTATAGAATCAAGTGCTACAAACTAAAAGACAAGCTACAAAGGCAATTTGTGCAGGTTTGTTTCTGTGTTTTTCTTGGTGTTTTTTTTTTTTTTCTTTTAGAGTAGATGCTAGCCATCCCAAATATACAAATGCTTCTTTTATAAAGCTTTCATCTGTCAAGGTGGAATGACTTATCTTTAAGTTGCTGTATTGAAAATTTGAACACAGGTCCCATGTTGCTAAGGAGTGAATAAAATAAAATTCAAGCAGAAAAGTCAAAAATAGAAACCAACTGCATAAAACAGGTGTTCATCCTTTTACAAAGTCATTCTAATATGCTGAGGAACTAAAATTTTCAATATATTACAATATAGACTACTGTAGTATATAAATGTATTACAATATATACAGTTTTTGACTACATAATTGCAACAATAAGAAATGGGACAACTTGAATACCAACCTGGAAAAGAATAAATTATTCATCTTATCCTAGAATTGCAATACAGATCAGCGAACAGCAAAACATGCTTTTCCAAGGATGCCTCATTCCTCCTCCTTACATGGCAAAAGCATATGGCAAAATATTCTATTTTTTAAGCCCCCACAAATAAATGTGAACAGCGCCAGCATCTAACAGCTGATGGCCACAGCTAGAGCTTGCAGAAAGCATGAAGGTAAATGCTCCTCACAACTAATTTCAGCTCCTTTTGCCAATTCTCAGGTGCACTCTAAGAGGCTTCACCAAGACTACACTCACCAAATAAACTAAGATGAAGGAAAATGGAAAAAAAAAATTGTGTAATTTAAGATAAACACAACAGACCTGCAGGAAAAAAGAGAGAAGCTATGCTTAAGAATAATTTTTTTTTTTATCAGTACTGTTGCAAGGTCAGTATGTAAATAAACACACACACAACAGAACCAGGTATTCAAGACTAAAACATGAAAACACTAGCATTGCGTGACAATATGAAACAAGCTGCCAAACTTCATAAAACACATAGAAGAACTGGCAGTTTTACAAACACTCTTAAACTCTGGAAAGAACAGAGAACCAAGTATTTCTAAAACACCAAAATAGACATGAACTTCACTCTTCATAATTTTCTTTCCCTTTGGAAAAAGCAGGCAGAATATGATGTCAGAATGGGCATGTCAAAGATCTGCATGGCTTGCTTCCAGTTGAAAAAGAGGAATACTAGATACACATCTTAGAACAGCTTGGGTTTGGTGTTTACTTGTGTCCTGTTTTACCCCAAAACACCAAATGCTGCTTTGTCATAGTTTTATCATCTTCTGTAGTATTCTTACATTATTTCCCCCCCTTTAGCAGTTTATTTTGCTACATGACAGCCTTTTCTTATCACATGGTCCCATCAGATCAGACACTGACTACATCTTTGTTAGTGCTTTTCTTGTACTTGCATCTCATCAATGCTGCTATCCAAGACTCTTGTTGACCTTTGTATTTTATATCTTTGAGATACTTGCAAGCAAACAATGGAGAAAGATACAGTATCAGCTATGATTTATAAACTAAAGCAATAAAGACAGTAGAAGCAATAAAGAAAGTAGAAGAGCACTTAATTTGTATTTTAAACTCCACTGAATATTGAGGCTAGATAGAGAAGCCTGAAACATCAGGCCTTTCAGACTTAAAGGATTAATTACAGTAAACCTGACTGGATCATTGAAATTATACCTATAAATTATGTCATACTGCATAGCATAAGAACTGATTTAATAAAAGAAACAGTTTGTGTCATCACATACACATTTGACAGCTGCTTGACAAGGGACAAGGGAAAAGAAAATGTTCTTCTCCTAGTTGGTGACTTACAGTAACTAGAAAGTAAATACATTTATCAATTTGATGAATGAGCATATCCTCCAGCTATTCAACGTATATTAGATTGCTTATTGTTCTAGCTAATGGGTCCATCATTCTGAAAATAATCTACAGCCTCCAACATTTCCCCTATGGTTAAGTTGGCATTCACAAGCATGTAATAGGGAGCAGTCACAGAAGCCTAATGTGATCTTCCAATTTAAAAATACCATTGAAAAGCAGTGATTAGTCACCACTCAGCATGAGTAAGAAAAGGTCCACAAAGTTCTGTTTTGTAACTGAATTCTCTCTTTCACCGGTAACATGACTACTGATTCAGAGGCAAAAACAAAATATATATATAGATACATATGTATTAGAAAACCAAGGATCTGCACTCATACAATTTTTTAATCTAGTCTTCAGCAGATCCTCAGCAACTCCATCTCTCATACAATATACTGAAGTTAATATCAGAACATTTCCAAATAAAGGAACAAAAATCTAGTAGCAAAATAGCTCCATCCCTATTTCTCCACTTCTGCAAAGATGAAATATTTGCCAATTATTAACAGATGCACTGCAGTCTCAATAATGAATAGAAACAATTAGATGTAATCAACAAAGTAACTGTGGAACAGGCTATAGTGAAAACAAAGTCCACTAACCTGTTAACAAAATATTCAGAAATATTAACCCAAGATTTTTAGGAGAACTCAAGAATGAATCAAATGAATTATTAACCTCTCATTTAAAACTTCCTTGATGCCTGAAGTTTAAAGGTGTCAATCTCTAAAAATAAAAAGAACTCCAAGGGGATTCAAACATCTCTAGTTCTTTGAGCCTGATATTTATACTATGCAACTTAACAGAATATATCAAAAGTTATAACAGGTAGACAATAATATGAAGGTCTGCCTGGGAAGAACTAACATGGCTTCTGCAGAAGGAACCTCTTGGGAGCTTTGTGAACAAGTGTGAACATTTGTGAAGAATGGTGATCTGGCTGGCAGCCTCTGAGTTCCAAATAGGTTCCAAATGCCTCACTAAAGGCTTTTAGGAAAACTAAGGAGTTACAGCTTAAGAAGAAGGGACCCAAATTGGATAAATAATTCTTAACCATAAATAGGGAGGAGCTGTTAAACGACATCTCAGAAGAGCAGCGTGTCACAGCTGAAGACCTTTAGGACCCTGGGGTTTTTTTCACATATGACCTGCAAAAATGGAGAGAGCAATAGGATCTGAAAGGTCACTACTGGTGCAAAATTATTTAGTGTAATAGTAACAAAAGCAGACTGAAGAACTGCACGGCATCTTAAAGTCTGAATAACAGGTAGTAAAATGGCAAGATGAGATTCAACTGGTAAATGCAGGGAGAACAATTCTAGCATCATATATAGAATGAGAGCCTCTGAGCTCATGAGCAGGATCTTAGGGCTTCGTTAAATAACTTCAAAAAACATCAGCTCACCACTTGGCAAATATCAGGAGCCATTGGAAAAACAAGAGAAAATAATTATGCCATTGAGCAAATCCATCTCAAGTAACTGTAGTTCTGATTCACCTATTGCTAAGAGGAAACAGTATAATTGAAAAAGGTTTAAAGAAAGACAAAAGGAATGATCAAAGTTATGGACAACTTCTGATAAAGTAGGCTGTGACTCTTCTAACCTGGAAAAGTAAGCACCACATAGGCGAATTGTGACTGAGGTCTACAAAATCACAACCGGCACCAAGAGGCCAGGCAGGAACTAGGAGCCGTTCAAAGAAGCTCCCAAGAGCCAGATCCGCAGCAAACAAAAGGACACAGAGGAACATGGACCTACAGAACTCTCTGTAAAATGACAATTGTCATACAAAGTTTTTACACAATATTAACAGAGGCTGGACAAGTACGTGGAAAAGGGGTTATTACATCCACAAACCACGTGAGGCTGAAAAAGAAGCTTACACACAATTTTGTTGTATTTCGCAGACTTCTTCTCACAAATTTCACTTAAAACCCTAGTCAAGACAAAAATTAGTAGACAAATTGTCTGAATACTGTAAATGATTTATGATTTATCAAGACACTAAATATAATTACTTTTAAGCAATATTCCACTTGAAGCATTGCAAAAGCATGAAATGTCAGAGATTTGTGAGTGACTTCTTAAAATGAAGTCCATTCAGAAACCCTGTTGTAGGGCCTTGCATATGATCATAGTTGCAAGTTTAAGATTGCAAATAATCAGTATAACGAGGGAGACAAAATTATCTTCTCAAAAGTCGAGTTTTGTGCACACTAAGCTGTGTTTTTACCTGGAAGAGGAATTAACTCCAGAGCAAAGAAATCTTGATTCTTTTTGCATTACCAGTAAAATATTTCATAATTCAATTGGTATGTTATTAAACTAATGTTTATTTCTGTAGCCTTTATATTGTGGAAATATTTCATGGTTCAAGCTACCCCCGCTGTGTTATCCTGAAGTCTATACACATTTAACAACAAGATCCTGCATCACACATGAACTCCGTGGAACTGACACAGTAAGGCACAAAGGAGAAAGCTGTCACAAATACAGAAAACAACAGTAACTTCTATTTAATTTCTTCCCTCTGCTTTATGATATTTATACTTCAGGGAAACTGAGGACATTATTCACTACAAAGCAGGTTCTCCTCGAAACAGTAAAAGAACATTAGGCCTGGATTCCTAACGATGTGAATAGGACCCCTAATGTCTAATCAAAGTTAAGCTGAAGCACAGCATTTTCTTTAACACAACTATTATTATGGTGTCTCCCTGTTATCTAGTTCCTTATTGTCATTAAATACGTAGAACCTTAATCCATGACCTCTATTCTTCTATCAGCTTCGGCTGAAACGGTCCAATAGGTTTAAAAGCTGCTTCTGCACTCCATTAGGCTCCTTCAGCACAGACACACTCGTGCCCACAAGCAACATGATCAGATGAACCTTATTCTCTCAAATGAAGCTAAGGTAAGATGTGTTTACATCCCAATTTAATCCTGTGCAATAATGCAGAAGTTAACATTTTCATATCTGCCAGACACTTTTCCTGTAAAACAGCGGAGTACAAGAGAAGCAATGACCCACGTAATGTTCAGCAGCAATACACTCTTTGTTACATTAAACTGGTAAGATCAGTGCACTTATTTCAATGATGTAGAGACATTATACGATTAAAATCCAGGTCTTCTCCAAATGTTTTCAAAGAAGCTGATGAAGTTCAATAAAAAGCTACTAAAAAAAAGCATTAAAAAGCACATATTGAAAAATTTCTTACCTTCAACACACTATTTTCTTTAAAATCAATATTACTTTTACACCAGTCCCTAAAGTACAATGGAAGTAAATATAGGAATTTAATTACATGCAAGTTATAACAAAACATCAAGTTGCTCTTACCTTGAACTAGATCTTGACTTCACATCTTCCTTTGCTGTCCTTTCACTACTGGTATCTTCATTGTTATCCATTTTTTTCTCACACAGTTTTCTCTTCTCCCACTTCTTCTGCTGATTTGAGATGCTTTCTGCTTCTCCCTCTGAGTCGTTTTCTGCCCCTACCTGTGAACCTGAGGAATGTGCCAGGCACTTAGAGGAGATCGGCAGTCTTTGCTCTTCTCTGCCAAAGTCTCTTTCTGCTAACAAAGCAGAAGTTTCAGGTATTAACGTTTCCTGTGCAGGGACTGAATTGTCCGAGTTATCTACATGGTCCACTTCCTTAGACTTTGCTAATGTGTATGAAGCATTTACAACACCTCCTGCAGAATGTTTAGTCTTTAAACCCTCAACACTGTCCTCCCTGCTGTCTTCACAGCTGCCACAACACACACAGGAATTAATTAGACAGTTTGTGGCAGCTATACTGAGTTTATGGGATTCATCCTCCTCCTCATTTGCTAATGGATTAGCAGATCCAGGAACACAACTAATAGCTGCTTCTGGAGTGGTTACTGGGGATTCTGAGCTAGAGGGAGATTTAGGATTGAATATCACAGTAGCAGATATTTTCATTCCCCCTGTCCTGTGAGCTATCACTTCTGCCATTTCTGCATCATCAGCATAGGCATCCCAGCCATTGAGGTATAACTGTGAGTCCGGACCTTCTAGACAGCTACATGAATTCTGAACTGAGATGCCAGACATCTGCTTGCTGTCTTCAATATTGTTATTATTGCTCAAGTCACTGTCAGCATCTTTTAAAAGCAAAGTTTCCTCCGTCTGATGGCCGTTCTCGTACAGCAGAGCATCTCTATATTGCAGGTTCTGTTTTGAATCATGGCAAGGGTTATTCACCCAAGCAAAAGTATCACTTACTGAATCCAAGCCAGCAAGAGCTTCTCCTGCTCCATCTAAGTCATCCATAAAAAACACTCTGTCCTCATCGTCAGTTAAATTGTCAAGATGGTGTCTTGTTGGTGAAGCTTCTGTGCTAGAACTATTTCTTAGGCTAGGTCTGTGAGCTGGAGACTGACAGATGCTTGGAGGGGAAAGCAGAGAAGACATTTCATCTCCAACTCTGTGTACCATCCTATTCAGCTGTTCCAGCTCCTGTTCATCATACTGCATAGAACAAGCCAGCTCAGCCTCTGTGTTTTCAGCTTTTGCTGAGAGCTCCTTAGCAGGCAAAGTCGCAGTTATGCCCGGTGCAATGACAGAGGGTACTTCAGGATCCGCTCTGACAGGAAAATCCACATCTTGAGAGATGCAGAGGTTACGTTCCAGTGTGTGCAGTTCATCCTCAGTTAATGTCTGAAGTAGATCCCTGAAAACAAAGAAATACACACATCACTTTGCATTTACAGTCATAGGAGGCACAGACGTTCAGATTTTTAAAAAAGCTTTTACTGTTAGTACAGAAATACAAAACTTGGGGGCACGGAGTACTTTCAGCTCTGTAACTCAAGGTGCATTTGACATTCATATTCAGAACACATGTGATTGCTGATGCCTGAATTTGGGATTACTCATGCAAATACAGGGCACCACACTATTTACATCCTTGGAATGAAGCCCTAAAATAAATCAAAACACATTCAAAAATGTATGTTTCCCTCTCCCCCTCTATATATAGTCAAGGCGTTACCCACAATTAGATATATTTTGTCATTTTATTTTTTCAATTCACAAATTTGACTTTGTTAGCAATTTGTCATCCTTCATACTAGATGCTGAAAATTATTCTGCAAAAGAGTACTGCAGAATTTTCACATCATTATATTGTCAGATAAAGAGAATCCATTAAAAATAGTAATATCGCTTATGCAACGCTGATGTCTTGGAAGGTTGTTCGCTGAAACACGGATTGGAAGCTGGCTCTCTCCTGCCTCAAACACCTAACTCGGTCATTAGGGAGCTAAGCTGCTGCATGACATTAAGAATCAGGTAGGCCTAAAGGCAAACATTTAGGTATTTACTAAACTATGTTTTCTAGATACAGGCAGCATCCTGAATGTTACTAAGTGTGCTCAGTGTTGTAGTTTAGGTCCCCAATCACCTAAAAACAAAGTGTCATTTCAGACTGTAATGTTTAAGTGCTTTATAACTTTAAAGTAAACCCATAGACACAGCAGCATGTAATTTTAGGTCTGAATTTGATTTAAAATATGCTTCTTAATTAGAAACCACATATAAAAACATCCTCTGTCAGGAACTGCTGTCAAGATTTTCAAAGACCGGCAAATCTATTTTAGCATAAATGAATGGATGGGGAAAGCAAGACCTTCTGCTTAAACAGAGGCTAGGAATCCATTATTTCTCATGTGTTTAGAAATCATTGGCTAGCAGGTGATGTAAAGCTATAATTATAATATGCACATAGTAAAAGAATTCCCTTAAAGGAGTAACTTCAGTCTAAACAAGACGACCAATAAAAACCCTAAAGAAATATTCAACACATCTCACATCTTGATTTCCAGTGAACCACTTGCACTTTAACTTCTTAACTCAAAGACCAAATATTTTTCCAAGTACTATTACTAAAAGATCACATTGCCCAAAAATACATCACCAGAATCTGACTTGTTTATCTGCTACCCTACAAATTAAAAAAAGATAACAGTTTAGATAAGCATGCTTATGTCAGAATAAATATAGAATGTACATTTTTATGGTTCTGTACATTCCATACAATTAGCATCTTTTATTTAAAAGCATGACTTCTTTTTAAATAGAACTATATGACCATGAAAAAAATTCTAAACCTATGAAAGTAGTACCTTATAAGAACAATTGCACCATCATATTCTTCCCTTTCTACTTGTTTCCACATTCTCTAATAGAGAAGTCAGTATTTCTTTAAAGCATTCCACATGCACTTTCAAGTCCAATGTTCAACTTCTTTTTCAGTCATACACAAGTAAGAAAAGAAAATGGGCAATCTTTGTTAGACCCACTTCCCTAAGAAAGCTATAAATCAGTATCGCTATCTGGCACACTAGAACATTTTAAAAAACCTTTACATTCTTTTCTTTTCTCTAAATAGTATGTAATGATACCATCTCATTACTCAGATCTTTTATTTAAATGGTAATCAGCGTCTGTAAGAGAGTAAGAACTTTATCATCCTCATAAAAAGCTGACAGAGAATGTTTTCAGTCTTAAGTTCAACATAAAAATAGCGGCATTATAATTTATTTTTGAAATAATTATACCAATATCGTCAATAAAAACATAGAATATCATGAACTTCTAGTTTGTCAGTTTTTACAGGAATGCTGTGATGCAGGATTTTGTAAGCAAAAACGAAGTAATGTGGGATTTTAGAAATAGCTGAGTTTTTAATTAAAAAAACACAACTGAGGTAGCACACAGTGAAGAGTTTAAGCTTGTCCCTCACCTATGCGAAGATAAAAACTAAGACATTTCTGGGTCAGGCCAGGGTTCATCAAGTAGAGAAGCCTGTCACTCATAATAGAGTCTAAGGAAGAGCATAAGCACAGGACAAGCACACATGAACTTGTCTGAGTGCATCCTACTGGCTTCTACCAGCCTGTAGCTCAGGGATTTCTCAACCAAGGTGGCAGCCTTGTGTTCAATAATCCTCAGTGAATTTCTCCCGCATGGTTGAAAACGTGTGTGTCAGGAACTGATCAACAGACAACTGCTTAAACATCAGCTACGCTTCTCCACATACTGCAGTCATACCCTCTTCTCAAAACACGTGAGACAAGAGTTACCTACTTCTACAAATACAGACCATACCAGAAACATCAAAAGGAATTTGCTTTACATCCAAAATCCTGAGCATAACTGGGAATGAAATGGGCCCAGGAAAAAGACTGAATCTTCTGACTTTCAGCACTTAGTTTGGGGTTTTATTCAGTCTCCAGAACACCATGTGGCAGCGCCTGGGATTCATGGATGCCTGGGTGCCCAGAGCTGCTCTGCTTCCTTGGTGAAGACACAGAGAGCCTGACTGCTCAGAACTATCTGATACTTGACAGTGAATGTGTTAAACCTTTAAGGCCTGGAAATGCATATTTACTTGATGCTGGCTAGCTTCAATGGCTTGAGTAATGAACTCTGTTTCTACCAATAAAAACATCACAAAATTTAAGAACAATTGCGTGCAGTTTTGAGGATACGTAAATAAAGCTTGACTCAAAAAAAATAATCAATGAAATCAGTTGTCAGTCCTTCTGTCTTGAGTCAGATCCATGCTGCAATGCAAGAGTTGCTCTTCATAATCAGTTAGATTACATGTGATAGTCCACCAACCCTATTGTTTCAGTAGAGAAATAATCCCGCTTTAAATTCAAAGGAAATATGCTAATTTTCCCAATTCAAATACTAAAAATTTTGCTATTAGCAAATACAGCTTGTTCTAAAAGATTTGGACAATTATGTTCACTTCTCTGCATAAAAAAACCCCTAGATTCACTGGGCTGTTTTAAATACAAGTTTCCTTGCAAGGTGACAAATCAAGCTATCTTTTTGATACACTGTATATTAGACTATACAGGATTCACTACGTGGCATTTTTAAAATGCCTATGTAGATATTGAGAATAAAATTAACGTCAACCAGTACGTGGAACAAAATGTTAAATCTCACTACTGAAAGTTTAAAGCTAAACACCAGGCATCATTATTAAAGCATAAGGTTTAATTAAGCTGTAACTACTTCCACGGTTCATTTCCTTTCTGCTGAAGCATCTGTAACTCGTCACGGGATCCACACAAGTGCTCTGTGTGTACGGAAATAAGTTTCTCCCTCTGCTTTCAGCATTCCGAAGCGGCAGGTAAAGAGAGCTTCTGCAATGCACCCTGACAGCAGTCATGCGCTGCCTTCTCACAGAGGCTTTAGAAAACACTGAATTTAAAAAAGGCACATGTTGAGCTTGCACCTGCTTTTGCTCTTTTTGGTATAGCATCACAGGACAGCAATCTAGCCTTGAAAATATGAGGAACATTTTTCTTCCAGTGGCTACAGCCACTGGCAGAAAAACAAGGCAAGTTGTTAAGATGCACTCTGCTTGTTACAAGCAGTAGTAGAAATTTACCCTGCTTACTGCAAAACCAATAAACATATTTTACTCTACTGCCAATATCCAGGCTGCAGAAATTACTACTTCAAAGATCTGAGGCCAGATATCCATTAAAAGACAAATTCAGCTGAAGAGAGGACAGGGCCACAAAACCCAAGGTGCACTGATCTCAACACATTCTCCAAACCTCCTTCATTGACTTTGCTCTTATTCTGACTAGAATCTTAACCTCCCTGTTTTCAGAGAACAGCATCATCGTTATTGCCAGTCTGTGCTTCAGCTCATGCTCTGAACAGAGCATAAACAGCTGTCTTTATGGAGCTGCCACCATAAGAACATGATGCAGGTACAGGAACTCAATTTGCCGCCTCCTGCTCCTGCAGCACTGAGTTCAGCACACCAAAGACCTCAGATCTGATACATAAACACTGAGAAACCAACACTGATCTATAGTAAATATCACTTGTACTCCTTTACTGCAAGAGTTTTAAATTAACTCAAAGTTTTAGAAACAGCCATCTTGGAAAAACTGATTAGTTTTTCCCAAATCACTGTGCACACTTGAAAAGCATGAGTTTGGCAAGCCCCCAACCCCCCATTCTTTAATATACTGACAACAGGTATACTGCATTTGACTTCTAGTCATTAATCAGAAAGGTTTCGTTGTACTTAAAATGGTATGATACTCTGATTCTGCACCACTTCATCTGCAATGTGCTTGATTCTGCACCACCAATATCCACAGGGACCCTGCCATCAATTGTAATGGTCCAGAAACCAGGATCAGACAAGCAGAGAGCTCTGACGAAAGGTCAGAACCAGAGACTATGGCAAAATTCCCGATTTGCTACCCTCTCAACATCTCTGTATAACTGCTTCAAATGTGTACATAGTATAAGCAATATTTTATCACAAGAATGTTCAGTGTCACAGGCATCTAAATTAAATATCTATGCAAATACCAGATGATATGCTTTGTATACTTCCTAGGCAGATTACAGTAGTTTGGCAGAAATGGTTCAAATATTGTAGTTTAAAAGGAATGGAGATAACTTTACTGTATAATTATGCGTATAAAACACCAATGCTGATGGTTTATATCTAAAATAAAAAACACAAGCACCTTGCTTAGGTATTAAAACATTCAAAGTCACTGTTTGCTGCTCAACTTTACCAAAACCTAAACAAGAATCCTTACTGCTTTTGCTCAGAAAGTCTCCACAATCACTATTACTTTTGAGGCTGCCAGCCAATAAAAATTTTCCTAGGCACTAGATATTTTTCTCTGCTAGTTCTAATTTAATTATGTAGATCCACATAAATACAGTGCTTATCATTGCCTTTAACAGGAAGGATGATTTAGGGTAATACAGCTTAAAAATTACCTGTAATCCTACAAAATAATCAGCTATAAATTTATTGTTATTCCATGAGTTAAAATATTTAGTTGGCTAAAAAGTTTTAGAACTTCATGGAGAAATTTACTGGAATGTGATCATATTGTGCAGTAAGAATGCCGTTCTATTATCTTACAACAGGCACACAACTACAATACAAGATGTAACTATTTTAACAGAAGACTACTTTAACCTATTTTCATGCCTTAACTATTGATGATGGAGACTGGAGAAAGACTCCCAGAAAAAATGTTCCCCTTTTGCTGGGGATGAGCTCAAATATCTCACTCCATCTTCCATTATAGGTTTTTGTGAACATTTTCACTGAGTAGGAATTGGAGCCTGCTGAGTTTAAAAAAACCAACTAAATTGTGATACGAAAAAAAGATTAAAATCTAGAAATCTTAGGTACTTATGAAAGTAATTCAATTATCCTACATGAACTGCACACTTAATTGTATCTTGTTGTTTTCATTCAATGTATTTTTCATTCAAGAATATTACTAATTGATCTTTTTGAGCCCCGTTCTTTCAAATATTCAAGTCCCTTGACATTCTTTCAGAGACTGCTGTCTTAGCTTGCATTAAATTTTTGGTCTGATAGATGCTATCTCACTAGGAGCACATTTCAAACTTGCCTGCTAGACAACTAAAATCACATTTCTTAATGCTCACTTGAAAGAATAAATATAAGTCTTAAAGTATATCAGAACTTTTTCAAAGCACAAATCTGAAAGTCTTTTCTTTTTTTGAAGTTTGCATTGAAAATTGTAGTTATTGAACAAACAAGTATTTCACTACTGTGTTTTCAACCCACACATTAAGTTCAGAGTAACAGAAAATTAAATGGATTAAGCAATAAACTGACTTCATTGATTTTCATTTTCTGTTTTGTGAAATGTAAGGAGCAAGCAGAAAGTACAGATTAAGAGAAGTGTATTAGCTTTTAAATATTTTTTTGGCTTTAGTCACCCAGTGGAACACTGGTGAAAATTCTGTGATGGTCATATATAAGGAATGATGTACTTTCATGTTAACTTCATGGAACTTTTAAGCTTCAGTATCATCAATTTTTTTTTCTCTTGCAGCTTAAGTCTTGTTCCTCACTTCACATCCTTCTTTACTTAGTGTTTTAGAAAACCTTAATCACTCAAAAGACTCCAAACATGTTGATATGTCAATTTTAGATCTCAGATTTCAATATGAATTCCATTAATGTACCTAAAAATAAAACTTGATCACTTCTGGACAAAAATATTACAAGATCTTCAAGGGACACAAACAGATGCCACCTGGATATTCATAAAACTAACTTCAGAAATAGGTTCCTCTCAGAAACATCCCTCCTATTTTCCCTCAAGAGGTGCCTTGCCTCTAATGGCATATCTGGATAAACTTATATATGTGAAAACTATTCTTACATCAAACCATCATCATGACGTACAGGGAAGGTGATAAACGGGTGAAATTAAACACAGGAAAGAAAAAAGTTCAGCCAAATTATCTCTAGACACTTGCAGGAACACAATGTGCAGTTGGTATATACATTTGAATTTTAAGAAAATAATAGGGCTTACAGACTTAGAAAATAGGGGTTTTTAAACACTCAGAGAAAATACCTTAATAGTAATATAAATAAAATCATCTCGATATAAAGATCCTTTAAAGATAGAGCTTGATTTCTCCAAAGCAATAGATCAGTCTTCAAAAAGACCCCAACTAAGAAAAAAATTAAGATTTAATGCCCTTTATGCATAAGTTGAACCAAAACCCAGATTTTCAATGGTTACCACAACTGAAAGCACTGTGAAAAAGAGGTATATATAAAATGATCCATCCTGTACAAACAGATCCACAATAGGAAAAACTCATAATCATTTCTATTAGATTACGAATGATCTGAGTATTGCATCATAACATACGGGGAAAATGTAATAAGCCTAGTTAAGCAGAAACACTGATGCTAATTAGAAACAGGATCTCCCTAAATAACCTCAACTTTAGTATTTCAGGCCTCATCCAACCATAAGGAAAATATGAAATGTAATAAAATGATATTCAGAAAAAAGAAGAAACTCACAAAGATATGAGAAGCTTATAAAACTCCCATGAAATTAAAAACTACAACTAGTTATTTCATGGGTATATCAGGCAGATGAGAGGAAAATGCACTTTATGGTTAACAGTGTCCTGGGACAGAATGGTTAACAGTGTCAGCTGGGATAGAATTTATTTGCTACCTGGAGTAGCTACTGTGTTTTGGTTTTATTATGAGAATAATGCTGATAACACAGATTGGTTTAGTTGTTGCTAAGTAATGCTTGTATTAAGTCAAGGACTTTTTCGTCTTCCCATAGAAGCTGAGAGGGAGCACAGATGGGATAAGCTGGCCAAAGGGATATTCCATACCATAGACATCATATATAAATGGGGGTTGGCTGGGGTGGGCAGGGATCTGTGATTCCTGCTTGGGTGGGCTGGGAAATCGACCATCACGTGGTGAGAGTGATGTGTTGTATCACTTCCTTTTGTATATTCTTTTACCATTATTATTGTCTCTTTTGTAGCTGTTACATTAAACTGTCTTCATCTCAGCCCACAAGTTTTTTTTCTTTTTTTCCCCCCTCTTCTCTCCATCCCACTGATGTGGGAGAGGGTGCATTGTGGATTTGTGGATTGAGCAAATGGCTGTGTGGTACTAGTTGCTGGCTGGGGTTAAACCACAACACACAGCAAACAAATACTTTTCTAAGCATTTGTGTTCTTTTTAGGCCTCTGATTTTTATTTCAGAAGAGAAGCAGCTACAACCATCTTATAACTTGCCTTATTTTTCTTAGCAAAGTGTGAAAAGGTCTGAAGAGTTCAGACATATCTTCTGGTTTATGGTCCAAGTTCAACGGTCCCTCGGAGTAGACAACAAGGCCACTGTAATTCAAACACAGGCACAAACATACACAAAAATGAAAATTACATTACACAGAGCAACTACTGAATGAGGAGGCAGAAAAGCAACTCAACATAAACATTAGAATTATACTGAAGTTATATTGTTACGTTATTTTTGTCCTATTCACCCACAGTCAGAATTAAACGTTAAAGCAACAGGAAGAAGATCCCCTCCATCCACCCCCCCCCAGCACAGACATTGGAGAAGAGGCAATGGAAGCATAGAAGAGCAGCACACATTTATTTATGAATTGCTGGGGTGCATCCATTTAAAAATAACCCCAAGAAACTGATTATCACCTAAGTAGGGGAAAGTCCACTGACTTGAGAGAAATTGTAAATGGCTTTTTCTTTCTTTTTTGCTAAATCATATAAAACACATTTTGATAATACCATGCTTCTAAATCAACTCAGCACTTGTAGACATTTTCCTGGGAAGAGGTTAGTTCATGGTCCTGAAAGCCTCCATGTATGTCACCGTAGATATCCTGATAGTTCCTCCTGACCAAATCACTACATCCAAACCTCTCTGCGTGTCAGGAATTAAATTCAATTCACTTTCTTCACCATATCTGCTGCATCACAGAGCACTGTATCCGAGAGTGTATTCCACCCACACCAGGCACCACTCTGCTTAAACTGTTTAATCCTCTGCCCACTGCAGAAACAACGTATGTTTCTCAAAGCCAAACGGATCATGCATTCTCACACTGGAGATAACACAAGTTTTATTTTTCCCAGGCCATTTTCCCCTTCCTGCCCTTACAGTCAGTGCTCGGTTACCCAAGGCATTTCAAAGGTATGTTCCTTTCCTTACACTCAAATTACACCTTGCTTCAGAGAGCTTTCTAGCGTCTCTGCATCCAAATCATCCAGAGTAATGGGGACCCTTGGCTGACTAACAAGACTGTTGATGTCTTTCCCTCACCAGCTGTTCACTAGCAAGCACCTTGTGTGACCACCAAAGGCTGAGACACAGCAGCAAAGCTGATGTCACAAGTTATATAAATCCCACTGAAGTATTGGGGGGTGGAAGAAAGTGGAGGGCAGGCAGAAAGGACCACTTACATTCTGCTTACTATGCAGGAAATACTGGTCTTTTTCTCCTGTTTATAAACCCTGAGTCTGGCTCAGGCCCTGGCAGCAAGTAGTACTGCTGTCTCCCATCAGGCTGGAAGATGGTGTATTGGGTTTGTGTGGAAAGGTTTTGGTAGCAGGGCAGCGACAGCAGTGGTTCTGTGAGAAGGTACTAGAAGCTTCCCCTGTGCCCGATGGAGCCAATGTCAGCCAGCTGCAAGACAGACCCATCACTGGCCAAGGCCAAGCCCATCAGCAACAGTGGTAGCACCTCTGGGACAACATGTTTAAGAAGGGGAAAAAAACCAAACTAACTGAGCAATTGCAGCTGGAAACATGGGTGAGAATATGAGAGTGCAACAACTCTGCAGACACCAAGGTCAGTGAAGAGGGGGTGGAGGTGCTCCAGGCACCGAAGCAGAGATTCCCCTGCAGCCTGTGTGGAAGACCATGGTCAGGCAGGCCGTCCCCCTGCAGCTAATGGAGGTGAACAGTGGATCAGACATCCACCTGCAGCCAGAAGAAGACCCCACACCAGAGCAGGTGAATGCCCGAAGGAGGCTGTGACCCCACGGAGAACCCACATTGAAGGAGAATCCTGGCGGGATCTGTGACCTCTGGAATACAAACACGGGCGCAGTCTGTTGCTGAAGGACTGCACCCCATGGGAGGGACCCATATTGGAGCAGTTTGTGAAGAACTGTAATTGTGGGAAGGACTCAATGCTGGAGAAGTTCATGGAAGATCATACCCACAGGAGGGACCCCACACTGTAGCAGGGTAAGAGTATGAAGAGTCTCCCTGAGGAGAAAGGAGCAGCAGAAACCTTAGGCAAAAATTAGTCTGAAAAGTATTGCTTAAAACTTTGCTATTAGAGGACCAAGGGGATCTCCATGCCCCAGACCCATCCTTCTCATTAAGACACAGAGGAACAGCACAACAACTGTGTAGCATTTGTCTTGCATTTAAATGCTTCTCCTTTCACACTCCAGATAAAAGGCTTGCACTTTTTCCAGACAAGAGTATATCTGCTTGGTGTAGTTATTCCTGGGGAACTTCACACAGCAGTGATTTATTTTCAAATCACTGGATACTTGGGAGTAGTTAAACTCTTTTCACTCTCTGTCCTTCTTTGTAATTTGGAATTGACATGGTGCATTTTCCAGTCTCCTTGGTTTTCCAGTTAGTCATGATGTATTGTACTTCATTGTGTCTTCCAGCAGTTTCAAATTGAGTTCTCACATTCCTGTTGTCTTTTGATAATCAGATTATTACTGTTATTATTTTTAGAATGACAGTTACAGACAATGTGCTATTTAACAGGAACAATGGGCCACAGAGATTTCCTGAGGAGAAGTGTATTACACTAAGGATTTGAGGTTTTTTCATTTCCCTCAATTATACTACTTACATCAGCTAACTTTAAAACATTCACAACGGTAAAATATTAAAAATATGATGGTTTTACTCCAGAGAAACTGCTGTCTTATTAAAATATGAAGACTCATTAGGAAAAATGCATCTTATTTCTTCAATATTGCAAAAACTGCATGAAGCAAAAGCAATGTTTTAGTTAATTGTCAATAGTCAATGCAGGGCACAAGTCTACTAAGTTATACATGTTAATACTTTCCTTGAAAAAGATTTAAGCCTAACTCAGTCACAATGCAGTTTGTCACGACAATTCCTTTTGAACCTAGAGTCATTAAGAAAAATACACAATTCCTATTGAAAATTTTTGGTTTTCAAGACTTGTATCCTTAGGTCATATTATTTTTGCTTTAAAAAAAATAAATATCTTTCTAAGTGACATTCCATAGACTGATGTTCTTAATTTTTCTGTTTCTTTCTGGAGGCTGACTGATCAATTGTTCCAGGTTCCTTCCTTCTATATTTTGTGTTCTGCCTTTTCTTTTTTTCCTCTTGGTATTCTACATGAAACTCGTACTGATTTAAAAAGATGACAAAACATAATCCTCTTTTAAAAATATTTTTTTAAAGAAAGTACAAGCAAACTCAGGTGAAAGAAAATATGCCAAAATTCTGAAAAAAATTCTGAAATCTTCAGTAAATCTTTCAGTAAGGCAGAGTGGAGAGTAGTTAAAAAATTTACTTACCATACAATGGCTAATCTTGGAATTGTAAACATTAAAGCTGGTTCATAGTCATCTATCATATCTTGAGTGAGGTATCCAAGCCTTAAGGCTCTAAGCAGAAGAATAGAGTTATTTAGAGATCAAACTCTCGAAGAATACATTTCAATAGGAAAGAATTTGTACACAAACAGTTCATGAGTTAAATACTATCAGTCTGGTTTAGCTTATAACTTCTTTTTTTTTCCAATTTAAAACACTGTGTATATAACTGACTGTAGTCACTGCTTTAAAAAAATCATGAGAAAAAAAATCTTTTAATACTTAAAGCTTCTATAGCCATCCAAAACCAAAATAATTTTATGCCCTTTTCCCTTTATATTTACTGTTCCAGGCCAAGCTTCAGCTTGTTACTGAAAGCCACCCGTGCTTAGAGTCCTTCAACTAAAAGAAACTTTTTTAAAGTAATAGGGGAAAGTATTTGGTTTCATTTTCAAATAAAACTTACTATAATCATCTAAGTCAACCCTCCGTAAACTAACAAATTAAACTGAAAAAAAAAAACAGTTCTACACAGCAACTATTACTGAATTCTTAAGATTTAATAATTGGGGGTCACTCCATTATCCTATAATAATGTTTCAAATACCTTAAGCCCCTTTTAGATTAAACCCCAATTTCTTTAGGTTTGTCACTTGGCTATGTTTTCCAGTTTTCTTCACAAATTCTTAATTTTCTCATAAATTTCATTATCTCCTCAAATCTCTTTTCCGATTTGTCCATATCAGTGCACGAGATTAAGGTAAGACTCAAAACTGCACACTAGTCCTGCTGAGATGTGACTGGTCCCTAGATAAATGGAAATAACTTATCCTTATTCCTTGTCAGTACTTGCCTTGCCAATACTGCTGGTGGTGGACAGCAAAATGACCACAAAGCAAGCACTGCTTCGTACCAATGGCAGATGGACTCATCATTGCGTGTCCCACTCTCGCTCCCTGTTCCTTCCTACAGTCCACTGCCAGGTTATCCAAAACCGCAAATGAGAAACTATCTTTTTCCTCTAATTGAGCAAATATGTGTATATGTAGTAGCTCTTTAAGTGATAAAATATAATTCCTCCTACTTGTTGTGACCATTTTGAGTTGTAATCCTGTCTTTCAAAATGCCTGAAAGACCTCTGATCTTGGTGTCACCTACAGATTGTGGCAGCGTGCTCTGTACTCCTTCACTCCTTAATCAAAGTAGTGGTGGTTTGGGCTAAACTGGCCACTGAGACAAACAACAGATGCTCCCTGACCTCCCTCTCTTCAGACCACGCCAGTCCCAGGGTCCTACTTCACAAGTTTTCCTAATATGACAGTAAACTCAACACTTATTCCAAGTGCATTCCACAGGCAATTGGTCTCTAGTAATTCCACCCAGTCTACAGTTCAATAGCTTCCTTTAGAGAACAGTGTTGCACTGCTGAGAGCCTCACTAAAGCTAGGCATTTCACACGATGTTCCCCCTCTGTCACAGGGGAAAAGTTGTTCAACATAGTACATTCCAAACAAATTCCCATTTTTCTTATCACCTTATACTTCCAAAAGAACTTATGAATTCCTGGATTGTGTGGGGTTTTTTTTAACATCATCTCTTCATACATATAAAGTCATGGCTCTAGCCCTTTATGATTTTAAAGGACCTTTACAAGTTCTTTGTGGTAATCACTAGAGGTTCACAGATGATTTGAATCATCTCCCCATGTATTCCTGAATGAAATACGATTAAGTCTTGATGCCTTAAACAGATTTACCTTATTTACATGCTTATTCTTCATGCATACATCTATAGCTAGGCCTACAAAAAATATGGTTATTGTTGGTTTATTATTTTGGGGGTTCTTTTTGGTCAAGAAAACAAAAGAGCATCGACTTCTGCCTGGGAAGCATGCTTAACGCTTTTCAACTTTGTACTTGGATACTTACTAGAAAAGCAAAGTACCTGGTGTTTTATGATGCTTCTTAAAGACTGTAGTTAAAGTATTTCTACAAAAGCTCAGACTGAAAGTAAACACAGAAATTAAAATTTAGTACTTAACAAAAATGCTTACCTTTCCACAGTTTCACAGAAAAGTACGATTACCTCTTGCTGTACATAATATTCTTTTGGAGACTTCACAGGTACCATGGCCGACACATAACTACAAAGATTATAAAATAACATATACTGTTTTACACACTTCAATTCAGATTATAAATAAAAACAAACCTAGGACAAATCATCTTAGAACCCAAACCTTGCCTTTACCATTGTGTATTTATTTTGACAGCACTCACCGTGAAAATTGTACAGTGTAAAAATCTTTAAGAAATGCAGCTGATTCACTTATTGCAGATTGAGGCAGTGGAGCTCAGTAGTAATTTAGAAATATAATTACACACATTTAGCATTCAGAACTCCATACTGTGGGGCACAGGGAGGTAGGTCCTAAAAGGATCTTTATTGCTGCGTCTTGAAGATAGAATTGTTTACTCTGCATTTCCTTAAGGAAAAAAAAATGACTAAAATGCACATTTTCTCTAGAAAAGTTTTACCTTAAATTATATTAGTGAAATTCAACTACCCTGCAGAGACAATTTCGGAGACTTAAAAGTTGGTCTTGTTTATATAAGGAATTACATGCAGAAGCACTAAGTCACAAGGTAAGAAACATTGGTATAAGTGGTTTTCTGTCACCGCGCTACTTCGTCATTTGTAGACTACAGGTAACACATGAAGGGAAAAAGTTATTTGCAAAACAACAGCAAAGAAAAGTGTGTGTAGAGAGTTGGTATGGAAAGGCCAGAAACTGTGCACAGGCACTGTCCACAGTTATTGATTGTCATTGGTGTCTGCACTCAAATCCACACTTAAAAACATGGTTTTAGCTGATGTTCTCAATTGAAATGTTTTTCAATTTAACAGTATAATGATGTTTTTCTGAATCAGAAAAATTGCTTGAGTAATACAAAATAACATGAAGAAAAGGTAAAGAGTAATGGAGACATGACAGTCCATGGATTATTCCCAAGAAAAGTATAAAACAATGTTCAATTCTAAGAAACCTGTTCTGCTGAAGGTAGAAATGGGCTTTATTATATTAGATCCATAGATAATCTTGTCTGTTATCCTGTCTGTAACTACGCTTAACACCACAAATATCTAATAGACATGCAGGAAGCTGGCTTTAACTCAGAAGCACAATGCAAGACTTGGTCAACATGACCTCTGATGCAATAAGCAGTCACTTCTCACACCCCAAAAGGAGTTATTTTTGTATTTGTTACAAACCTCCAAGCCTTTGTTCAATCACAAGTTTTTAAATCAGTGAGTTCCTGCAGTTAATTATGGCTTCTGTAAAAGCACTTCCTTCATCAAATCTCAATTTGCCTTCTTAAATTCAGTGGGTGCATCTTGCTTTTATCTATAAGCACAAGGGAACAAAACCTCATAATCTCTAGACTATTTTTATCATACTTTCTTGTTTTAATGTTTCTTACTTGTCGCCTTTCCTCCAACAAAGAAAACATTAAGGGAAGAGATTTACAGCTTCCTTTTGTGTCTTGAAAAATCTCCCTAAAATGCCATATGCCAGTATGCAAATGGAAGATTATAGTTTAGTTGAAGAGAGCACATGTTGATTGCTAAAAAGCTCTTTAATTTTCTTTTCATTATTGCTACACTGGAAGGGAAAAAAAATCTAACAATACAACAAATTACTGCAGAATTCAAATAATGATAAATAAATTACATACTTTTTCCAGAAAAAGAAAACAGAACAAAACAGTCAACTTCCAAAAACGAACAAGCCACACAACAGCTGTGGTAGCCAATGCTCATAACACATTCGAATCTTTTACCTTAATTCAAATTCAGCAAAAAGGATGTCAAAATGCTTGAGTGATTCTTTCATTTTCTCTGTGTAGAGGTTCAAATCCCTTAGGGCCTGGTCACGAATGATATTTCTAACTTCCTCTAGGCTTCGGGTCAGATCCTTGGCCAATGGCCTCATAGCCATACTCTCAATTTCACGATTCATAATAATTGAACCAGCAGCCAAACACTATGAAATAGATTAACAGAGAAAATATTTTTACGAAGTTACTTTTATCTTTTAAAAAAACAGCACAAGATGTGACATTTAATACCTTGAATAAGAGCAGTATTTAGCCACAGTTTGTTGCAAATTATTAAACAAGTGCAAGATTTAAGACTGATCTGCCAAGTCATAAGCCTTCATATAAAAGGTCAAGGAGCAACTGGGTCAGGGAGACATGAGAACAGTGAAAGGGTCAAGTGCAAAAACCATAGGACTAACATAAGAACTTAAAGCTCTTCTTTTAGTTGGGCAATAAATATTGGTAGAATATTTACTCTATGTGTGCAAGGATTCCTTGTATAAAAGGTATGTGAATCTAGCTATAGTGTGATCAATGGACTGTTTTGATTCAGGATGGATTGATTGATTTTTGTAAAAAAAAAATAATTCTATTTCGTACAAAGAGAACAGAAACTCTTTAACGGTGATGCCTTTTGCATCAAAACTGGTCACACTCACTAGCTGGAACAGGGATCCCGCTAGACCAGTATCCTACCTCCCACAGAAGCCATGAATATACTTTATATGAAAGAACAAAGACCAGGTAACAGACTGATTCTTCCCCTGCAGAAAGGAACTGGACTCCCTCTGACCAACTCACAAACACATTAAAAGTAGATTTCTACTGTAACACAAATAAATTTTTTAAAAATCTTGCTTTTAAAAACAAGTTATTTAATAATCTCTGCTGCTTGCTTTATTCCTTTATGGATACGTTCAGAAGACAACAAGCACTGATATAAATCATACTCACTGTATTAATGGAAATATTTTTATTAACTGAAAATACACAAGACTGTTCAAGTCTCAAAGTTGTCTTTTTTTTTCCTTCTTGTAATCTCCATTTATGCTCTGTGCCAATCCCCTCTCTCCTGCACTCCCCTGGATAGGAAACATTTCTGCAGTTCTGCACCACCCAGAGAGGTGGTGGAGTCTCCATCTCTGGAGACATTAAAAACCTGCCTGGACACATTTCTGTGCAACCTGCTCTAGGTGGACCTGCTTGGGCAGGGGGGTTGGACTAGATCATCTCCAGAGGTCCCTTTCAATCCCATACCACTCTGTGATTCTGTGACCTGCAATCTCAGCCCTTGCTTAGCAGCCTGATGCACTGATTTACATTTTAAGGGCAGAGAAGATCAGGTTCTTACCTCTTATCAGCCAAAGGAGAATTTGTGCAAAACTATAGATAGGGTAAGCCTTACCTGTTGATGGGTACTCTTAATCTGAAAACTCAGAGCAGCTGCACTGACAAGGATATTCATAACAGTCCACACAGTCTTCCTTACCACATGAATTAACAGGAGGACAGTGTCTGCAGTAGTATGAGCTTGCATTACTTCATCACTGCATATGTTACTTTCTCTGAAACCCACAGGTCACTTCAGCCTGTTGGTTGGATTTGGAGACAGTGAGAACATTTTTTCACTGTTTGTGTTACATAAGCTAAAGGGCAGCATATTTTTTTTTCTCCTAGAAGATACTGGCTGTCTCAGTAATTCCCTCAAGCATTTTCCACAATGCAAGGAGAAATTGCTCCACTGACTGGCATTTCTCCCGTTTGCTCACTGCTGTAATCCTAGCTTGTTAGTCCTTAGAGTAAGAAAGGGTGAGGGGATTCGCAGGCATTAATTATGGATGGTTACAGAAAGAATTACCCCATTTTCTCCTGCATAACTACCAGGGAAGCACCATTAAAGCCAATGTGTCAGACTCTCAGCATTTTATAACAGAGCATGGAGTCATCTGGACAACAACAGCAAAACTAACACAATAATAAAAAAAAGGTTGCTGCTGTTTTTGCTGAGGATGGGATTATCAAATTCATTTTGCAAATTCTACACAGAACTTTCCTGACTCAGAGGAGCCTACAGTTAGCAACTGTCAAAGACACTTTCAGAAACAGAGCACATGGCAGCATATCGGACTGAACACAATCACAACTATCGATGGAGCGCATGCGCTTTCAAAAGAAAGGAGAAACCGGTAGAGAAAAAGAATGGGTAACAACAGGAGCCAAAGGGTCGCTTCAAACACAGGAGAGGAAAAGCTGAAAACAACACCACAACACGCTCTTTGTGGTGGGATGTCTAGACTATTCCCCCCTCTATCACTCGACAAATCCATGGTGCTTAATCACCTTCAGGCCAGCAAACCTGAAGACACTAAGTTTATCATTAAAGATGCCACAATGATTTTTATTTTTTTTAAAACCAACAGACATCAGTACCAATGAACAAATACCTTAAATATTACATCATTTTTTTCCTGACACTTCAGGCTTCCCTTGGTTAAAATAATTAAAGCTTATTCACTCAAAAAAAACCCCTTGTTCCTACAAGTTGCTGTAGAAGCAGGTCTTTGAGATAATTCAGGTAAGCAAAAAGTGGATTTCAGTGTTTTACACAGAACCCATTGTATTTTCAGCATACAAACGGAACAAGTGAATTATGTGCAACAGATGTCAGCTCAACAAAGCTATGTATGCTTAGTATGAGTTAGACCATAATGCAGCCATTAAAATAAAGAGCATACACTTATATTTGCTGGAGATAAAAGTTTATCTTAATTCCCTTATAAGTCTTTATTTGTTTCTACATTTTTCAAAGCATGACATACAAGATGGCCCATCAGAAAAAAAACTTGATTAATATTAATCATACACTAATTCACAAAAGAATAGTTTTTAAAAGGCGGTCATAATGACAGCAGACAATTATGAAAATAAACCGGTATGCTGTTAGCCCAACCAATACCAAAACCATAGTTAAAGAAACCCCTTCCACTGAGTATGTGGAGCAAGTTGTCAAGATCTTTACTGTGCTCTGTAATTATACGTACCATTTTCAGAAAAGTCTCAAGATGTCCTCTAAATGTCTGGCTTTACGCCACAGAAAATCGTCCATTAACCCCAAGTAATAGAAATATGAGAGACTTACTTCTGCTCCAAACCAAAGCTGTCCTGCAAGGTTGTCATGGCGTATTTCCTCTGGAAACTTAACACAAAAGTCGCGGTTGGCCCGTTCATGTGGAATGCATTCATCCATGATTTGATTTATGATGTTCAAAACATTATCCTGAAACAAAATATAGGATAGCATATATACTGTTCCCATAGAAATCCCACAATTATTTTATTTTTTTTAATTTTTAGTAGAACTTAATAGCGAGGCACCAACTAATTAAGATAGACAATGAAGTATTTAACTCTTATGGTCATCATACACAGAAAGAAAAAAAGATAATACTGCATAAAAGAGTGGCAAACTTAACTTTTTCTATTTTTCCTAGAGACTGTTTCTCAGATTCACTGCACTTAGACTACATTAGCGGGACTTCTGATGAGGAGGCACGATTTAAAGAGCTTGTTACCTCCAGCTATCTGTCTGTAAAATATCAGTAAATAAGCTAGAAGTACAAGTAAATTAGATTTCTCTCATTTACTGTCACCAGCCCCAAAGTGCAGATATCCACTTCATTCTTTCCCAAAAGAACACCTGACAGAGTACCCTGGGGGTGTTAAAAATGTTTAGAAATTGAGTTCTATTGGGACCACTGGAGTTGAACATGAGTTAAACTCATCCTGGGGATGTAAAGCAGGTAGTTTCCACACTTGAGTGCCCACTGGGCAAGGGCTGACATATCCATCTGCCATCTCACCCTCCAGTCATCCAGGAGGATAAGTTAAAGTCCTAATATTAGAGTCTTAATAACTACTCTGATCTATGTCTGCACCAGGACAAAGATCAAAGACCTATAACCAGCTTCTTGATATGCAGTAAATAATCTGTATTCATTTATTTGAAAAGATAATTTTCACATACCCCTGCTGGGAACTGCATGGAATTTGATTAACATAATAAAGGTAGATTCAGAGCATGAAAAAGGCTGAGCGCTTTCATTAAACATGTTTTGTCTGTCTCATGCTTCTTCCACTATTTACAAAATTCATGTTCTATTTAAAATATTTTTCAAACAAATAAAAACAAATCTGTATAGAACTGTTTAACAGCCAGAATTGCTTTAAGTCTACACTTCACTGTTTTATTTTCCTCTGCATTTAAAAAATAATAATGGAAGACAGGAATTTTGAAGAAACCTGGCCCCTCCAGTATGTTCCCCAGTGAGAAAGACAAAGCCTACTTTAGATACAAAAAATTATTCACATTTTCTGTAATTTCAGTGCAGACTGTTATAACTGCTGTTGCCACACAATCTTAACATCAATGCTGTAATCACAGTTATTTTCATCCCAAATAAATAAACCATTGGCAATATTTATTACACATAAGCATAAGATACTTTGTTTCAACATAACATTTTTACACAGATGCATTTTTTGCAAGTCTGTCATGAGGTAACACATTTCATTTCAATAAAGTTGTTTAAAACAAACACACACCACCTCATACATTTAAAACACACTGACACACAATGTTTAACCATCTTCTCTGGAAACAAAATTGGAAACCAAATGGTCTGCAGATCCTCTGTGACATCAGAGACTTTGTCCAGCAGATAGAAGAGACAAGAAACTAAAGATAGATTCAATGACATATAAAATACTTAATTTTAGAGATGTACCCCTCACCCTGCTGGGTATAACATGCTGCCAGGATGAATGGGGCACCCGGATCCTCAGGAATTCTAAGAGATACCCATTGCAGAAACTAAGGGAAAACCCAACATCACAATAAACCCTACTGTAACTACAAGGGGAACTTAAGTTCAACTCCTGGAAGACGACACATGAGAGCAAAGATGCCCCAAGCCTGTTTCGGCACCACCATCCTGAACCACTTACTGATACCACCTCACCTCTCCAGGATAAAATGGAGACAGTGAAATTATCACATGAAAATTAGTGACATTTAAGAGTGACAAAAAGCAGAATAATAGAAAGTTTCTTATTTTCCTTTCTTCCTTTCACTTCTTAATTCCTGGTATTGAGTGTACTTCTCTCATTATTTAAGATAGATCTAGCTGGGGAACCAGAATATTTTGAATGTAAGTCCCATAAGAAAATCAACACTCAGAACACTTAGTTCCTACCCAAAGTTACAGAGCAAAGAACGACAATAAGGATTAAAGTATTTAAGTTGTAAAAGGACACAAGTCACACATGACATTTTAAATCAGTTATTACTGATGTATTTTAAATCAGTTCTTACTCATCTATTTTGGGATCAGGTGCTTTGCCTGTAGCTCCCACTTTATCACAAGAGCAATACAGTTTGGCACGTTGGGATGAAAAAGCCATACCCCTGTTTTCAGAGAATCAATAAAAGTTTGCAAAGATCTTTTAATGTTGGAGAGGTACAGCTAAGAAGTTATCCTACCAGTTAAATTTTACAAAAGCTGCAGGACATACCAAGAAATATTAAGGCAGATAACTCTAAGAAGAATTATATTTGAATCTAATATCAGATTTTAAATAATCCAATTCCATTTTAATGGAGGACATGATATTCCAATTTATTTCACTTGCCACCAAACTTGAATATGGAAAAAACTAATTTTCAATCCCTTTTTTCTAAAAAGCTACACAGAATAGGATGAGGCCCATATTGAAAAGCTTTCCTCCGTAACTTTTTTTTTACTTTAATACATTATTTTTCAAATAAGCTTTTTTTTTCAGCAGCCACAAGACAGATTGAATTCCCCTTTTATAATCACTTACTTACATACTCAAAATTCCTGATATATGAAGGAACAATTTAGGCAAACAGAGAAAAGCAACAGGACTTATAGCTGGCGCCAAGCAGCTATTCTGTATTTTTGTTCTGTTCTTCTAACTATTATATCTGTAAAAATGTATTAAGATTCTGTCTAAATCATCACAGGAAATTTTTATTATAAGCATCATGAAATTTTGTACCTTAATGCACTCATCTCAACTCACAGTATTACCTTCAGTTGCAATATTTATCATATAAAGATAATTAAACTTTTTACAATGCAAATATAATAGTAATTTTTCTGAATATCATTTGTTTGCCACCTAAATGACATTTAATATTCTTCCTCATGTCTTCAATATTCCTACAATCTCCAGATGCTTCTCCTCCAGAGCACCCAACACCTCTCCATGTATGCCAAACTTAATGAGTCAGTTAAAAAAGTTATTTGTAATTGGTGCAGTACTAGCAAGTTAAACCATAGACAACTTGAATGTTAACATACACTTCCCAACAGAGATAAATCACAACGGCTCACCCTCTGTACTAGTATAAGTTGTTTGTAAAGAGTTACCTGGCTTCACATAGGCATTTTGTCAAAAAGTTAAGGGAAAAATTAGAAAGATGAGCAACTTATCCTGCATACTCTGTCAGTGACACTCGAAGACTAAAGAAAGAATAGTTGATGGTACTCTGCCATTTAATGTATAAATGCTGAAAGAATTCTGCAAGTTGAATTGCTTTTGCTGTTTTAAGATGTGCAATTTACCAAATATTCTGATTTTCTACAGGTTTGATTTTTTCCTACTACAGAGAAAAAAAAACAATTCTCCATCACTTCCATTCCCTCTTCCATTCCTCCTTCTTATGACACCCAGAGCAGAGTAACCTAAATAGGAAATCTGGAATACTTGCTCCCATAATGATTTGAAATCTCAGCTGCTATGAAACTGGAAGGATGCCAGACAATTTAGACCAACTACCCAATGCATTGTAAGCAAATTAGTCTTTTCTTTAAAAGAGCTTCAAGAAACATTCAATTTAGTTAATTACAGTATTCTGCTTTGTAAGCTAAGAACGAATAGGTTCAGATACACGGCAGCATTGAGGTTTTGCTCTAATTTAAGCAACAGAAATCAATTAGTTGGAATTGAAGGAGTAAATCTTTCACTTGATCCATCTTTCTACATAAAAGCCTCTGGATTTTAATGTATCCTTTGGCGGCTTTATCTGTTATCTTTCGGTTATTTGCATACCAGGATGAGTTTTGTTTCAGCTCTCTGTTTAGGCTCTTCAGCAGCACAACAGGCAGCTGCGGCAGAGATTCTGCTTTGGGATTTACTCCAAGTTCCTCATTTCCTGGAAAACAGAGCTCAGTGTTTCATGTAACGGAGAGCACTTATATTTTATTTTGATAGGAAAGATGAGTGGTAGTGCAATAATGAATATAGTCAGCCACAGTAGAGGAAAAAAAGTTGGTTTATTTTTGGCCCAGCAGTAATTGGCCATATACTCAATAATCAGAGCATAAAACTAATGGCAACTGCCGCATTAGCTTTCTGAATAGGTACAAATGAAAAGCCAGTAACTTCATCTTACTTATGCTCTAAAACATATGTTTAGATCAACAAAAGGCAGATTTATCCACCCTTTTGTACATGTCCTTGATAAAATCCATGTTACTCTTCCATGCTATTGAATTTAACATGACCTTCTTGAGGTCTTTTGCAATATTTCTTCAGAGGAAGAAAACTTCCTGTGCCATTCAGTACCTCTTAAACATCCATTTTTTGAATTATCAGTAAAATCTAGCCTAGGTAACACAGTCTCTGATGATATCATCATGAGCTTAATAGAGTGTATTTTTGGCTCTTCATTTATATATATCCTTCACATTTTTCATTTCTTTTTCTGGCTTAACATTAAGTTGCAGACCTCCTCCAACATCACATTTATGACAAACAGAAGCAACTGATGAGCACTAAGGCCAAACATAAAGGAAGATTTTGTTGTAATTAAAGCAATTAGCTAGTAGTCAGGGTTTTATGGGTTTCTTTCATTAACAGAAGAAACCAATAATAAGGAGACATACTCTTTGATGTAAGTAACAGGATTTCAAAGAAAACCCAGAAGTCCTGGCTTCAGAACCCAGCAGGGTCTCTACAGATGACTGTTTCATCCATCAGAGATCCAAAATCTCTCTCCAGACAGCAACAAGTTCCCCCTCTATTCCTCCAGCCCATCTTGCACAGATCTTAAAGGCTGGGCTTCCAGAGTCTCTTTCCTGCCTGATGATCAGCAATTTTACCATTTCCCACTGCCAACTTCTAGATGCTCCACTTCCAGAAAGTAACTTAGGATTTTGCTGTGTATGAACTTTGGGCAGCAGATCCTAGTTT